AGGGAAAAAAAAAAAAAAAAAAAAAAAAAAAAAAAAAAAAAAAAAAAGACTATATATTTCAGAAGCTTTAGAATATAATCTGAAATATCAAAATCCTACTGATCAGGCTTCTCAACTTCCAGAAACCTTCCACTATAGGTGAGAAATCTGAGGGAAAAAACTGTCAATATGAATAAATACTCATAAATGTTAATACAGTTTTATATGAATTATAGGGGAATATAATGTCTTTATCCATCAAGAATAGGCAACTGGGGGCTGGGGATTTAGCTGAGTGGTTCTATCACCTGCCTTGCAAGCACAAGGTCCCAAGTTGGATCTCCAGTACCAAAAAATAAAAAATAAAAAGAAAGCTATAATAGGCAATTGGGACATATGGAAGATGATGACTATCATGTTTATTTCCAAGGTGCAAGGAGTACTAATAAAAACAGTTCACACTGGAAAGTGTTTGATCTATACCTTGCATACTTTCTCCTTATTAACCAGATTTTCACTCTTACTGATTGATTTACTTCAAATGAACACAGGAACAATCCAAGTTTAGAAAAAAGTAGACTTAGCTGGGCCTGGTGGCATACACTTGTAATGCTAGCACTCAAGAGGCTGAGGCAGGAGGCTCACCATGAGTTTGAGGCCAGTCTGGACTACATAACTGAGTTCAAAGCCAGCCTGAACTGCACAGCAACACCCTGTCTCAAAAATCCAGCACCACCTAGCTAAATCCCCTGGCCCCTCCACACTTACAATTTTAAATAAATACATAGTTTCAAACTTAAAAAAATGTATCTTTCACCATTACTAACTACTTGGAAGTTTTTAACCATCACTCAGATAAAAGGCAAGAAGATATACTGGGGACATGAAAGGATTCTAGAAAAAGAATAAAAAATGCAAAAGTTATGATCCATACTTCTTAAAAGAAATCCTTGAATTCATGTCTTGGAGTTTAAGAGTGTGAAATAAAGATTTCTTCAAATAAGGTCAAAATCCCCTATAATTTTTGATATACAAATAATGATAATACTTTAATTCCTCAAAAGTTGACCTAAAATTATTCTCAGACTTGAATTTTGTTTAGAAGATGAAAACTAAATGTACTTAAGGAATCTGTTAAAGCCAGGCACAGTGGTATATCTCTGCAATTCTAGGACTAAGGAAGGAGAACTACAAGTCTGAGGCCTACCTAGGCCATATAGCAAGTTCAAGGCTGGTGTAAACTATATAGCAAGACCCTGTCTCTCTAAAAAGAAAAAATATAACAAAACAAAAAAATTTATTTTCACATTAGCTTTTATCATAGGAGGTTCATGTCTCTACTAACTACATGTCTGACAAACAAAAAAACATTAAAATGTGGTAGCTTCTTCAGCTCTCAACAACAAGCAGGTAAATCTCTATGCTGGTTCACTAGAGTTCATATGCCATATATGTCCAAATATAAGGTAGACTTCTGCTCCAGAATTATTCCTCAAAATAGAGTTGTGCCACACAAAAACATGAGCATGAGCTGAGTGTGGTGGTACATGCCTGTAATCCCAGAACTAAGGAGGCTGAGGCCGAAGATCACTGAATTTGAGGACAGCCTGTGCTACATAGTGAATTCAAGGCCAGCCAGACTGACATGGCAAGACCCTAGCTCAAACAAAACAAAACAAAACAAAAAAAACAATCCTCCCAAACCAAAACAAAGCCCATTATGCTAAGAAACCAGAATCAAAAGGCTGGAGATGTAGCTCAATGGTAGAGTGCTTACACAGTACTTGCTAGGTCCAGGGTTTGATCCCCAGCACTGGGAGGAGAGGGGGACACTAGACAAAAATCCAAAAAGAAAGAAAAAGATTACAGTAGTGGCTGCCAAGAACTTGGACAGGGGAAACAGGAAATGACTGGTAATAGGTATGGATTTTGGGGGGGGATACAAATTTTCTAAGCTTAGAAAATGACAGCAAAGACCCAATCAAAAAATGGGCAACTGAAATGAACAGACACTTCTCAGAAGAAGTATAAATGGCCAATAAATACATGAAAAAATGTTTAACATCTCTGGCTATTAGAGAAATGCAAATTAAAACAACACTGAAGCCAGGCACGGTGGCACATGCCTGTAATCCCACCACCAGAGAGGCTGAGGCAGGAGGATCGCCAAGAGTTCAAGGCCAGCCTAGATTACACAGGTCAAGGCCAGACTGAAGCACATAGTGACACTATCTGAAAAGAAAAGAAAAGAAAAAAAAAGGAAAGGAAAGGAAAGGAAAAGAAAAAGGCACAGAAACAAAGATACTGAGATTCCACTTTACTCCAGAAAGAATGGCTACCATAGGGCCAAAGATGCAGCTCAGTGGTGCCACACCTGCCTGGCAAGCACAAGGTTCTGAGTCTCATTACAACGTTGGTGGTGGGGGATGGCTATGGCTATCATCAAGATATCAAATGGTTATAAATGCTGTATGGGCTATAAGGGGAAAAGGAACTCTTTTACATTGCTGGTGGGAATGTGAACTAATAGAACTACTACAGAAGTCAGTATGGAGATTTCTCAAAAAACTAAAAAGAAATTCCATTTGATCCAGTTATTCCCCTTCCAGCCATCTCCCTAAAAGAGTTAAAGACATCCTATTACAGTGGTGCATGTATATCCATGTTTACAGCAGCACAATTTATAACAGCGAAATCTTGGAAGTGGCCTATATGTATCAAAAGATGAATGGATAAACAGTCACTTATACACAATGGAGTATTACTCTGCCACAAAGATGGATAAACCTAAGTCATTTTGCAGGAAAATGGGAGCTCCTTGAGTCCATAATATTAAAGGAAATAAACCAGACACATAAAACTTAAAAATCACATGGTTTCTAGGGTCTGGGATTTAGCTCAGTGGCACTGCACCTGCCTCACAAATGCAAGGCCTTGAGTTTAACCCCTAGTACCAGAAGAAAAAAAAAAAGAAAATGAAATCACATGGTTTCTTTTAATAAGAAATCCAGGGCTGGGGATTTAGCTCAGTGGTGCTGCCACCTGCATGGCAAGCACAAGGACCCAAGTTCAATCCCTGGTACAAAAAAAAAAAAAAAAAAAAAAAAAAAAAAAAAAAAAAATCCAAAATATAAATAAAGAACAAAGTAAAAGACAGATGATAGGAATAGGGAAATAGATCTTTTGCAAAAAAGAAGGAAACCAAGAGATTTCAGGGAGGGTAGAGGAAGGGGATGGAAAAAGAATTAAGAGGTGTTATATACATGTACTAACTCCCCATGAGGAATATAATCATTATGTACCACAAACTTACCAATACAAATTAAAATGGTAATGTTGCATAAGTCTATGAATATACTAACATCACTTAGTCCTACTTTTTTTTTTGTACCAGGGATTGAACTCAGGACCTTGCGCTTGCAAGGTGGACAATGAAACCACTGAGCTAAATCCCTGGCCCATGTACACTTTTTTTTTGAGACAGGGTCACAGTACACATTCACTGGCCTTGAACTCACTATACAGCCCAAGCTAGCTTCAAGCTCATAGCAATCCTCCTGCATCTGCCTTCCATGTGCTAGGATTACAGTTGTGCACCATCACACCTGGCTTCAGTTGTACACTTTATTTATTTTGGTACCGGAAATTGAACTCAGGGCCTTGAGCTGCTGAGCTACATCTCTGGTGGTTGGTTGGTTTGTTTGTTCGTTTGGATACCAGGGATCCAATTCAAGACCTTGAGCTTGTCAGGCAGGTATGGCACCACTGAGCTAAATCCCCAGCCCCAGTTGTACACTTTAAATGGCCAAGTTTTATGGGATGTAAATTATATAAGTAATAATTTAAAGGATAGTGGGCAAATCCATAGATCAAAAGACACTTAGCCATCACCACATGTGATGTGGTATGCCTGTAATTGTGAACACAGTGAGTTCACAGTTAGCCTAAACTATACAGCAAGACCCTGTCTCAAACAAAAAAAAAAATCTACTGTCTTGTTAGGCATGGTGGTGCACACCTATAATCCCAGCACTTGGGAGGCTGAGGCAAGAGGATCACTTCCAGCCTACATAATAAGTTCAAGGCCAGCCTGAGCTTTATAGCAAACCCCTGCCTCATAACAAATTCTTATATTCCGGTGCCTGCCTCGCAAGTGC